TTGTCGGTTGAAATAACTCCAAGTGTCGAAATTATTAAAAATGGTAGCGTTACATTGAAGGTGGTCTAACATAATTCTAATACAAAATAGTGTTGGAGGTGTTATTTTCCACCACAGGCCGAATAGTCCGGTAATGTTAAATGGTGCCTAGTATAACAATATTCAAATGGAGTGCTAATCGTGAATAATCGCAAGGTATTGCAAGGTATGGATGTTGGTTATGCCGATAATTTATATTTATACCGTCGTAGAATTCGTACTATGTTGTTATTTTCCAATGCACATTTTTGTATAGAGTTTCAAGTCTTTTTTTTTTTTTTATATATCCAGATAATTGGCATTACCAATTTTCTGGGTCGTCGTAATCTCCCTGCTTTGTAATCCGCAACCCATTAGGATTTAGTCGTTGGATGCTTGATCGATATCCCAACAGTTTTACATTATGGGATAGTCGTTACAAGAAACGTACCACGAGCGAGAAGATTTTATTAAATAAATCGGTGCCTGCTATTCCAGCATATTATTTGTTCGATTAATAGCGCGATGTTACATACGGTGAAACAAACGATCTAGCACTTTTACGCCTTGCGGTTATCCGCAATTGATACGTGCGAAGCTGTCCGATGGAATTGGATTGTTTTTATCCGACTGGGATCGTACCCAATCGAATTTAATATCGAGTATATTTAACTTAACCAAATCACCTTGCGAAGAATTGTTCTTGCGATAAGTATATATATATATATATATATACAAATATAAATAAATAAATAAATAAATATATATACGTGTATATAGATATGTATGTATGTATGTATGCATGTATTTATGTATGTATGTATGTATGTATGTATGTATGTATATATATCTATATATTTATTTATTTATTTATTTATTTATTTGATGTGCACGCAACTAATGTCGTTTGTGCATTATAAGAAATAAGAAATGAGTGAAGAAAAGAGATATTATTGAATGAGATAGTTTAAGGATAAATGAAAGTTTGTATGTCTCTTAATTATTGGTTAATTATATGGAGCTGTTGGAAGTTCATATTATAAGGAGGAATAATGCTGCATATAGTTTATTCGTGTATAAAATCGCGAAGATATATTGTATGTAAAATTGCACTTACCGTTAAAAGAAGTTTATCGTATGTAGAACAAGAGTCGTAAGAGTATTTTTTTTTTTTTTTTTTAAAGATAAAAGTTTAATTGCGCGAATTGAACATATAAAAAATGATAAAATAAAATTATAAGCAAGAGAAATGCGTTATAGGTAAAAAGTAATATAATGTAATAAATAGGTTTGCCAAGGCGAACACAAAATAAAATGTGTGATCAACTTGTTTAACCTATATACTGTATATTTTAATAAAAAATAAATTACATCGAAAAACAAGGAACAGGAATTTTTTTATCTTAAATTATTAATTTTTCTGATACCGTACATTTTTATTAAATTGAATTATGTTAAATGCAGTTTCCAGTTTTCTTTTTCCTTGACTTTGTTCGTTGACAATTAAAGTCGAATTTTTTTTTTTTCACGGATTCCTAAAAGAGCGGATCCCTATTTCCTAAAAGAATGAAAGATATATATATTTGTTTTTTATTTAATTACGCTTTCATTTAATTACATATTTTATAATATGCAAAATAAATTTTATAAAATAAAGATTGATTGTACATATGTTAGCTTAAATTTTATATATAATTATGGTGTTTCTACTTACGATTATTTGAAAGAAAACCGAATGAATTTATCAACATTTTATTAAATAAATTTGTATTAGTTTTCATCGTTAGTATTATTTAAAATTGGAAGGATTTTCATATTAAAAGTACTATACCAATTTCAGTCAATTCAAATTCAAAACATTGCAGTTAAATAAATAAATATCAATATTAATATAATGATTATGTATTTAATAATACATTTAACAATAAATTGTCTATTTTCAAACTAAAGTGTAGACAAATTTGTAATTTAATACTGGATAGTTTATCCTTTGGATTCAAAATAATTTCACATAGTCGCATATTTTTTTTTTTTTTTTTTTTTTTTTTTTTTTTTTTTAGATTGTTGCATTTTTTATGTCAAACAAAGATTAAAATGGAAAAACCAAATACGACTGAGTTTTTTTATTTAGTTAAAATAACACTTTACCAGCTTTAGTCATTACTTAATATTTCTAATGAAAGTCGTATTTTAGATGAAATGCAGTTGGTAAAAATTTTATTTGAATAATTTAGCATTTTTTTAATAGTATTTATATATTAAAATACTATTTTGTGAATAATAATTAATGAATAATTAGTATTAATTTAATTATTTTATTTGAAGATTAGTTAATAATTGATTTCTAAAAATTATATTTATATATATATATATACATTTATTTATATCAAATATTTAAAATTGCATAATATTTATAAATATTGTTTCATTCTGACATTCTGAAGTCGTATTGAAGTAATAGCGCGAAAATATCGTTTTTGCTTTTTTTTGTAATTGAATTGAGAATGTTTATTTTTTATTTTTTATATGGCAGATAGTAATATAAAAATATAAAAATAAAATTTTATTCGTTCGCAAATGTTTTTTTTTTTCCAAACTATCGTAATCTTTTTAAGAGCAAATTTAATCAATAAGCAATATATAATTTGTAAATAAAGGAAAAGAAATCTCATTTTTGTATTATTAATTAGTTCTATCAAAATGAATATTTATTTTCTTCACGAAAGATCGTATATTAATAATTTTAACGCAAAATAATTTATTTTATACATAATTTTTTACAACTTTATAGTGTGGATGTTTGCAGTGCTGTTGCATGATTTTGTACATTTTCTTTATTATTATTGTTTTTACAAATAAATTTTTTTAAAAATTATAAACAATCTATTATCATCACGAGTCTTGAATGTATTAAATTTCAAAGTATTTATTCGAAAACACGTTTAATGAGTGTGAATCTTACAGCCACGAATCGAAAAGTTCAGATAAGTTATCTATAAGTTTATTAGCATAATGCATATTTATAGTACTGAATTTCACACGAATTAACTTTAATAATATATATAGTGTGTAGGCAGTGAAGTTTCATTAGTGAAATA